GGACAGCTTCTCTTAAATTCGTAAAAAATGGGTCGGCGTAACAAATCGCCTGCTGGTTGTGATACAGTCGACTCGACGAGTATCAATCTGGAAAACAAAAGCGATAATTACAAGAACCTCCGTCGACCGTCGGGCGGAAAAACAGGCTCTTGAGAAAGAGTTCACGTTCAAACAAAACGTCTAGCTTTTCGTTCACTTCTGGTCCTATTTCTTCTTGCATGGACATTCAACTTTGTTAAGTTTCAAATTTGCTTAATTGGTGGTGCATTGTAGAAGTACCTGTTTAACCGTTCATTCTTCTTACTGCTACCATAAATAGCCCTGGCAAGGAAAGGCTGATTCTTGATTATTTAAATATGTGTAATTGGAAGGAATATCTTAAATTTAAAGATAAGAAAGTGCCCTTTGAAATGTTTTGTTTTTTTAAATATTTATATGTTTAAATTTGACACCAAATGTAATTAACATCATATAGAAATTTCTCATTTACAAAAGAAATGTATTTTGTTATACTTTGTTATCTTATGGTCTTACTAAACTGTTCGTATTTGTGAAATATGTAAGAGCCATAGTTAAATACGTCAGGAAAAATTGTTTTCGTTGAGTGCTTTTTCTAGATGACAGATGTCTTTTTCCAACCAATCAGGATGTAAAATTGATCAAATTGGTTATGGTCTTTTTTATCAACCCATTACTTCATGATCAGTTGTGAAAAATGCCTGTTTCAATTGAAAAGCCTCCTATTACAAATTCTAATTGTTATATAACTATACAAAATGCTTCAATACTGTTCAAACTTGGCACAGAAGTTAACTGGACCATAGCCTTAATAACCGCGTACTCTGCCGACCCCCTTAAAACCCCTGAGCAGAATGGGGCTTAATAGGGCTTTTTGTTCACTACTTGAGGCCTCATAAAAGGGAAGCAATGTGTTAAGTTAAGAACAATCATTTGTTTATCCCTATTCTTATTTTGAAATGGCTTGGAATTTTGTTTAAAATTTATTTGATAATTCTTTTGAAAAAAGACTGAGTTTTACGAGAAAAGCTAAACTTGTTGTTGTTCACATCTGAGTCTCTGGCTGCTTGGGAATGGAACGTGTAACTAGGGAAGTTGTGTCGATGGCTATAGAAGCTAGGCAATTAGGATTCGATTCAATTTATGTTATGATAGCGGATGTTTATATGAATTTAAATTTTGGATCAGTAGTTTAGGCCAGTCAGGCCAGTATCTAATAACTTTTTACACACAATTACTATTCATTCTATCGAAATTTGTCTAAAATTGGTCGGAATCTACATATGGTTCATTATAACGGATCTCATAAGAGACGAACGGTTGTTATTAACAACGTTTTTATATTTATGCAAATGTTTACACATAATGTTATAGAATAAATTTTATGTGAATGACAAATACTACTGACTTGTTTGTAATTAATTTTTAAACTTTTGTTGACAAAAGAATAAATGATTTATTTTCATTTGAGCAGAAGTGAATAAGAACATATTATGATATTAGTATATAGAATTTCAGGAAATGAAAAAAACTCTTAATAAACAATTATTGTTTTTTTTTTTCATTTTGTAAATTCAGCCTTAAGCGGAACAAGTGAAGCTTTTGTATTTTAGGTATAAGAAAAGTTTCGCCACAAATATCTCGCAGCGGAAAAGACAAACTGGTATGTAATAATAAAGTTTAAACAGACAAGAATATTTATTTCTTTGCTCGGACCTGAGCATAGCTCCTCATCTAAAAAATAATGATTACAATACATTTTAAATCGCAAATTAAGCAGTTCTTACATGTTCAGTAATGAAGAGAGAAACAAAATAAAGATGCACGGCATATATCATTATAGTAGAGGATATATTAGAGAGTGTTCTAGTTTGGTCTAAAGTTTTGGTCTAAAGTTTTTTATGAAGAACTTCAATTTATAAGATAAAATTAATAATAATTCATACATTTCCAATTAATCTGAACGTTTGTAGCTTATAGTTTTACTTATGTATAACAGATAAAGTCTCCTTTTAGTGCAATTTATAAAACATGCTCAATTATTTAAAGTTTGGATATTTTGTGTTAACAGTAGTTGTACTGTTTGTGCATGTCAGGCCTGGGCCTCTCATAAAATAACTTTCTACATATCGTTTCTGTAGAACATTGTATTTCTTACATATAAGAATAAAATGACATTCATCTTTAATGGCTCTAGCTGAACAAATTTCTTAGAGTCTATAAACGCGGTCTTTTCTTTGTCTACCATACCTCTCACTTTCAATTCGTAATTTGCAAGCGCATATGCAAAACTTTGTGTTGAGTGTTTGTAAAATACGGTAAACAAGATCGCAAAAACAAGGAGCCCAGTGGGACCAAAACAAGACAGGACAGGGCAAAGGCAGAGGACGGACATGCTAATTACTTAATTGATACTTATAATAATAGTTACCGACACGGAAATTAATTGAAACAAATAGTTGATTGATCTATAACCTCACAAAGTAAAGGGGCACAGGGGAATGGGATATGAGTTTCGGAGAAGGGAAGGGCAAACTTAAAAAAATTAAACTAAGGGCAAAATGGCTAAACTGATTTTTATAAAAAGTCTAATTTGTAAAGCAATAAAACATTATTGCCTTCTAGGTCACCTTCAGTTTTGTATAAAAGTATCTATGTTTGAAAATTGGAACAAATTGCTTGTGTTTTATATATACCCAAAATTCATTCGAGTACAAAATATCCTTTACAACCGAAACCCAATTTGACTTCCCGTCGCAACAACCAACTTAACCAAATGCAGGGACTTTCAAACCCTGTCCAATTTTAATAAACCAAACTTGCAATTTGATAGCATACCAGCCAAATTTGTCACAAACATTTTGGCTAATAATATTATTTACAACAACACACAATGTGTTAGATTCTTATCGTCACTTATTCGCTAAATGTTGAGCTGGAAAGTATTTACTATCTCTGCTATCAAACATTTATTGTTAAATATATTATCTATCCAAATATATAATGTAGCCGGTACGTATAATAGTGTTAAACAAACATTTTTTTAATTTGAGCATAAATCAAAATTTGTCTTTTCTTATTGTTTAGATTAATTTCCTAGATTTAAGAAAAAATATACAATAGGTTTTGAAAAATATGCATTTCTACATGTCATTAATAAAATCACTTGTATTTTCAGACAGATTCATCGCTTAAATGCATTCAGTAAGTATTATTCATAATTAATAGGCTGTCTTCGTTAAACGTTTGAAAATGTTTTTTTTAAACATGTTTATATCAAAGTTTGATTCCTTAGGAAGAACAGATGTATTGTCTTTCTTAATTATTGATGTTGCATAGATAAGTTAAAAACATATATATGCAGTTTATGAAACGTGACAGCCAATATTGTATCTTTCAGTCGCAACCAGTTTCCGAAAGTAGGCGAAAGAGCCTTTGGGGTCCCGCAAATGACAAATCATGCGTACCCAAAAAGGTTTGTTAAATAATCACTATAGATTAAGGTCTAACTTGTTCAAGTTCATGTCTAATTTACTTTTGGGTTTAAATTTGGCCCCAGGCATTATTTTAAAAAATGAAAAAAATGGTTTTAAAAAATTGGTTTTTTTTAGTTAAATTTCTTTCCCCTTTTTTTCCCTTTTTTTGATCCGTAAAAGATTTTTATCAAAATCACTTCATAATGTTTTTTAATTTTTAAAAAAATTTTTAAAACAATTTTAAACATTTCCCTGAATCCATATTTCCCTTTTAAATTTCAACAGCCAATTTTATTATTTGCCCGGGAAAGTCCCTTTGTGAAAAGGCACGTTCTTTGACATTAAAAATTTAAAGGTGGGGAGTCAAAGGTTTACCCCGGTGGGAAAAAAAGTAAATTTTAGGGTTTAATGACGTATGTAACCAAAACCTACTATAAAAGGGTCTATTTAATTCCGTATTGCAAACTGGAGACTATTTGTATTAAAATATGATTACATCATTGACGAAATGGAAATAATGACCAATGAACTTGTAAATGTATAAACGATAGCAATAACACTTGCAGTATCCGGTTGTTTAAAACATTACTTTCTTCTGCTAAAGCCGGTTAAAAAAAATAATTCATTATTTAAATGGATTTCAACTTCATCTCTAAAATATACACACTTGTTTTAAAAACATTTTTATTTCCGTTTTTATTAAGTGTGTAATTATTTTTCAAGCATGTAAAATTTCCGAAACAGTTTTCTAGCTGGTGTATCTTGGTTGTATTTAGCATATTTAAAAGTATTTTATTAATAAGCGTATTTTGAAATGATTTATATTATTTATTTTCTTAATGTTAAAATACTTCCTAAAAAAATCTTACTCCACAAATGTTGATTTTGAAAAGACGTCTCTCCCTTTTTCAAATCAAGTTCAATTTTAGAAGAAATTTGTTCCAATATGTATTGCTTTTATATCAAAAGATTTATGTAGTTTTTTTAAAGTATTGTTTTCTAAAAATTTTTCATCAATGGGAAAAATTTATAACATCCAAAAAATCCCTGGTTTAAATTACGGTCTCAAAAAGGGAAAAAAGGGTAAAAAACAATTTGGGAATTTAAAGGTTTTTGGGTAAAACAGAATTAAAAGTAAAGAATGGCGGGCAAACAGAAAGGGCTTGAACCCGTTACAGAGATTTTGAAAACCCAAATCGGGAATGTCAATGAAGAAAAAAAAAGCCCAAAAATTTAAAAAGGGGAAAAAATTTATTTATTTTTAAAAAGGTTTTCCCAAATTAAATATGAAAAGAATGTAAAAAAGAAGTTTTAAAAAAATGTTTTTTAATTTTCCCGAAAAGTCGCATTTTTTCCCCTTAAAATTGTATTTAAATATACTTTTTTAAGGTATGAAGAAGAGTGATTCAACATTTGCCAGGAAGTTATAGAACTAGCAATTTGACAAATTCGATTACTGTAGATTGTGATGATGATGCAAATCCGAATTGTACTATAAAATCCGAGTTGACTACTTTTAATGTCATATTTTTATCAATACCTTTTAGCATAAAACACTAACATATATAAGCTATTACAATAACCTTTAAATTAAAACTTAAACATTATTTCATATCATTTTGCAGGCAAATGGCTCTGCGAGAAGGAATTAAATATCAAAGGTCAATCTTGAAACATTTATACAACGTTATCAACGAAGAATCTGAAAGTAGGAAGACTTCAGAAAGCGAGTATGGCAATTCTTACAAAAGACAAAATGTGGAAATTGAAGAAACACTTAAGAGGTAGGTGAGACTTATAATGGATATGACATTCGTTGTAATTTGACATCATATTTTATAAAACGAGTTTAAGAATTTTCTTGGATGAGTTCAATAGCACGTTTTTATTACATGATCTTTAAATAGATTTGAAATGATTTTTTTCCAGTTAGGTTAGCTTTTATAAAAAAATTTAACCGGTGAATATCAATAATATATCATAGTATATTAACCGTTTGTTTCCTAAAAATAGATTTTCAGAGTACATTTATCGGTCTTTTGCTAAAAGAAAGATTCTTTGGAAATACCCAATATCTATTTATTTTTATCGGCGTTAGAGTTCAATAGCGGAATATACCGATTGTCAATAAGGATAATTATAAAGAATGTCGTTTAGGCAAATTCCGTTGAAAGATTTTTGTGAAAGCGTTTGACAGCTATGGAAAAATAAAGTCCATCAGCTGTAATGATGAAGGTTTGAAGATATACCGTCTGTGCCGGGTCTTCAACAGTTTTTTGTTCATTTTTTTTGAAATTAGGCAGACAAATTGTGGGAAGGTTAGGATCTTTAAATAAAAACCATCATAAAAGCTATTCGGTATAAAGTCGTTTTTGGAGATGTATCACAAATTTAATTGTACAAAAGAACCCTCGGTCAAATGACATAATAATACGCATAAAATAGAATGCAGGTCCTTTTTATCGAAATCTATAAAGGATAAATTATTTTTGATAAATTTAATAGCACAACAAACTTTTATTGCAAAAAACTGTCACCTTTTTTTAAAAAAAATGATACTGATAAAGCTTAAAATTCTTAAAATAGTATGTTTCCTTTTCAATCTTTTTTGAAATTGTATAACATCTTTGATATCAGTGATCCAGAAAATGTTCAAGTGAAAATAGGTAGAATTAGTACCTCCATTCAGGTTATAAATTCGAAATAATAGAATTCTATATAGTTTTATATAAAATTTTCACATAAATTATAAAATTTATTTTTGAAATTTAACATCGGCATTGTTTTCATGTGGCCTATACTGTAACCATCGTCGGATACCCACGGCCGAACCATTAACATTTATCAGCATGTTATGTGACATGTTTATCAATCGTGGGTATCCGACGATGTACTGTAACTGGAGCGTCATACATTTGTCATATATTAAAAAATAAAATAAATGCATAACGTTAACTAGTGCTTTCTTGCGACAAGTTTATATAACGAAGTGTAAATAAAGAAATAACGAACCCCGGTTTATAATGACCTGAAAAAAATGTGAAAAGAAGTTCTTTGGGGGTTTCATTATAAGTAAAGTTAAAAAAAAACCCCAAACAAAACATTTTTTAAAAATTTATAAACAGAAAATAAACAAATTTTTTATTACAAAAAAAGTTTTTTTAACCCTTAAATCATTTAACATTTTGTGAAATAAGGGGTAAACTTATTCTTAAAAAAAGTTAGTTTTTTTAAAAAGATCATTTAAACTTCCCAAAAAAAACCCAAGTAAAAGGGAAAAGGAAAATGTTTAACCCTAGTTTTTTAGATTTTTGTGTATTTTGTTTGAGGGTTTCCAAAAAACATTTTAGTTTAAATACCTCTACTTTGATGGAAAAAACAATTTGACAAAAAACCTTTAGAATTTTGGAAAACCATTTTTCGGGGCATTATGGCATTACTTACCACTGGACCATTGCATTCTTTTAATACCGACACAGTTTGCCACAGAGGAGTCCAATAAGCAAGTGTCGCCGATATTTCAACAAATGTTGTCTAGAATCTGTTGTATAAAACAATGTTTAGCCGATATTTTTCAAAGGTGAGTGACAAATAAAGTTTTATATTTTATCAAATTAATGTCAAACAATGTCTTAGAGGGCTCTTTCAAAGATCGTTGATTGAAGCTGAAAACTGAATTTCAATTTAAATATAATTGTTTTCGATTTTTTGTTTCTTATACAAAACTTGGTCGTCATACTATTAGCAGATTTATATTAAATGGAAAATGTTTACGGGTGCGTCACCATTTCGTCAATGATGTAATCATATTTTAATACAAAATAGTCTGGTAGTTTGCAAATACGAATATCCTTTAGGAAATCTTTTTAATCAATAAGAGTAAACTAAGTAATCATTACCTTTAAAATTTTAGCTTTCAGGGAAGAAACGGGTTACCAACTGGAATGTTTTTGAAATTTAAAAAAATAAAAATTAAAATTTCCACATAAACAAAAGCAAAACAGGAAAAAGGGGAAAAGCTGTTAATAGGGACATTTACAAATTTTTTTTCATATAATTGGGAAACGAAAACATTTTCGCCATAAAATTAAATTTTTCAAAAGAATTTTAAATTAAATCCCAGAAACCAAAATTTTTTTTTTGATTAATTAAAGATTTTTAAAACCCGGGTTTTTTTTAAATAAAAAAAAAAAAACAATTCCTTAAGAAAAAGCCTTTAAACCCGGAAAAAATTTTAAAAAATTTTTTGCTAGCCCTCGTTGCATTGAGTCTGTTCCTGGACGGTAGTGGTAATTGCTATTGGTCTCCCAGTAAAAGAGTGTTTTGTGTCCTAACGTGAAAAATGTGCGGAGCTAAATTAAAATGGAAGTTGGTAAAGGGGAACAGAGGGGTTTATGAAAAATTTTTGCAGATCACTGATTCTTGTTTTTTTAAAGATAGGAGGCAAACATATCCTTTTCAGGTTATCCCGAAAGTTAGCTGGAGCAAACCTCACAACAACAACTCCGAATATAGCTGATCTTAGTGATCACATCGAGCCACAAAACTAGCTGAAACAATTTTTGAACTTTAATGATAATGAATGGACAGATGCTTTTGAAAGACCTGAAAATAACTGATGAAAAAGAATGTATTGCTTTTCTGTTAAACATTCTTGTTGTAAGTTAGATTAAAATAGGTTTTAATTGCTAACATTATAAAGTATACTTTGTATATAGAATATACTGTACTATCTCAAACCTACCATTTAATCAATTATCTTTAGAAGACTTCTTAGGACCCGAACGATGATAACAGAATAATTTACAAATCTGTGGCATAATAACCAAACATCCAAATTCCTTTTCCCTCAAATAAATCAATTTATATAGAAATGAAACAATTAACTAAATTATTTTTGCGTTTTACTTCAAGGAGTCGTATAAAATGTGTGGAACAATTTCTTGTAATCAAACAAAGTTGGTTAACTAACATGCTGCGGAATCCGACCGAATGTTTATCTCTTAATACAAAAGTGAAACAGGTAGGTCGATGTATATTAAGTCATATTGTAACAAAAGGCTGAGGAGGGCGTTGAATTTTCTTTTTTTTTTTTTTTTCATATAATGAAACATTTATTTAGTTACCATATTGCTAATCTTTTACATGTACGTATGATTGTATATAACTTTGGAAAGGAAATATAGATGCCTTTGATAACTGATACATTACATGGTAACATGTAATCTGTAGTAAGTGAGTGAAGTCTTTTGTTAAAATAATCCAATTTCAGTACATTGTTATATCAATATTGTCTGCTTTACCTAATAGTGTATTATTTTGGTAATTATAAAATGTTTCTGCTTAAGTACTTTTCTTTTGTATTAAATATTAAAGGCTAAAAAAATTCTCCCATCCAAATCGGTCATATAGTAGAGGTGCAACTGATTAATTTGATAACTCTGCGTTCCTTTATTAAACAAATCCAGATTTTAAAACGAATATGTATTAGATTTAATATTCTTTATTTAATCTTATAAACATATTAATTAATGCAAATATGAATATTTTTATGAAAGCCGAAAGACAAAAGCATCCTTTCAAAGGTTCAATCAAGATCTTTAGCTGAGCTTAGAAAAATGTGTGCAGAACTTTCTGTAGCTGATGTCAAAATGGTAAGTGTACATATTCAAGTTCTTAAAAACGATATTAACTTTAACAGTCAGCACTGAAGGTCAAAATCATGCGCATATTTTAAATATGAACGTGTGATGTATGAATGATATTGTACATTATGAAATAACTGCAACAATATGCATATTCATTTTATTTTAATATTTAAATCTGAATGAAATTATATCATATCGAATATTTCATAATAAAATGTTATATGAATGAAGTTATTTTTAAACTATGTGAAAGATCTTCATAATACCGAAACATTATTTAAAATTACTCTTTTAACACCTTATTAATTACCTTATAAAATCATATATATATGAATCTTTAATTCTAAATTGTTTCTTATAACGATTTCATACTGTGTAAGGGTTAGGTGACATTCCTAATGAGATTATTTACTCAAAAAAGAGTTTTGATATGTTAGATTTTCTTGTTCTATTGCAGTTCATTGCAACAAAATATAAACAATGGGTGAGCAAAGAACATCTGGAGATTTACACATTAAAGTGTATCGAGTTGTGTTGGCTAATGCATCATCAGACACCACCTGTGTACCTTGATTATGCTGTTACCATTAACTCTACATTCGATACAAATAAATATAAGCCATATACTAAATCAGGGTTAAGTATAGATTATCAAGTATGGCCAGTTCTTCTTCTTCACAAAGATGGACCTCTTCTATGTAAGGGGGTTGCACAAGGAAAGTAAATACATGTGCATACAAATAAAAACACTTCAAATCGTATTATAAACTTTATAACCTAAAATAAATACAGGCTAATAGATATTAAATTTATATCATTCTAACACACTTTCAATCTTCCCTGCGCCTCGTCTTGATTTACCTATCTTGTTTCCACCCAAGATTCAGAGTGAAATATCTTGTAAAACTCCCAATGTATTTTATAATTAACTGTAATGATTAAATTTACAGTAATTATCAATAAATATATATTAGAATCACAATCCATTCCGTCAGTTATATTTTCATTATATTTAGTGCAAATATTTGTAAGTTTAATTAAGAAGAAGTAAATATGCAATAAGCATTGTAATTTGTCAAGGACGGAAGATTCGACACACTTTATTAATTTGAATACAAAGTATTTACAATTGAATAATGTTCAAAATACAGTAAGTAACAATTTACTGTACTTCCCAAAGCCAAATAATTTAACTGAAAGTAATGACGATTAGAAAGAATGACGTACGATAATTCCTCTTACTTCTCCTCACTTCGCCGCCTAGGATAAACAAAGGTATTTGATATTTCAACAATATATTTCGTTTTCGTTACTTAGTGCTATTGAAGAAATGTTCTTATTCTAAACGATTTTACTGTTAGGTAAGTATTTTCATTGTCATTATTCCTGCTTTTTTGGGGTTCAGTGTCTGAAAAGTTTTTGGTTGGATTTTACGTCACACCAACACAGTATCGGGTAAAATGGCAACTTTTCAGAAGACCGAGTAGAACCCAGACGCTCCGTAAGCCAGATGGATAGGCGTCTAAGGTGATAAAGAATTTTTTCACAGCTCAAGCTCAGATCTCGGGTATCTGATTGGTCAGAAACTGGCACATATAATGTACACTAAGCAATGAAGTTCTCGCGATTTGAAACAAAGCTAACCTTTTATATCGACACATTTGTGACTAACATTGTATTTTCATACCTCTCATTCTTTAGAAAACCTTTCATGTGGAAAAAGTCATATACGTCTTTAATGTTTCGATTTTATAAATAACGTGTCGTTCTTTCTGCTCATTTCTCGTCTTTTTGCCTTTACTATCATTTAACTGTTTTAATGAAGGCTAATAGTTTTGAATATACGCACATAAATATCTTTATAATTTAACAGTGACACCTATAAATGATATGATAAATATTGTTACTGTCCAGCTGTGGTACCAGGTCCCTCTAAACTTCATGAAATGTGAAAACGTGGGGATTCTAAATGGCTGGACTCTCGGAACGATAATATCCTCACAAAAACTGAAATGATCACAGTTATATCAAAGTTCTATTTTAGATAGAATTGCTAGGGCTAGAGGGACACCGATTCTACTTGTCTCAGCCTATAGGTCTATTTAGCTGTAATATGCTATTTTAACAGATGTTAATAGTGAGATATTCTGAGTAACTGTGATATGACTACGTCACTCTGAATGTCACTGTAATTTGTAATGAGTCCTTACATCTGCAGGTTAGCCAAATGAAGAGAGAAAAAAGACCTTTCATTGATTACTTTATTCAAAAGTGTTAACTTTTGTTTAATAAAAGTGTTCAATAACAGATATAATATAACAAAAAAACATTAACATACATGTATATGCAAGATAATTCAGCATTAAAATCTAATTATCCCCATATGGATCTCAAAATTGAGCATCGGTAAAAAATATATGTAAATTTCCGCTTATCCAGATGTGAGATATAACTCGATATGTGAAGTAGAAAATATGCCAATCTCAACTTTTTAAATATTTATATAAATTCAAAGATTTTTTTAAGAAAATCGAAATGTGATTCTACCCTCTTGACTTTCCTCTATATTTACCCATTTTTATTCTGGATTTTTATGCAGTCTTGATCGAGATATTCTTTCCGTCATTTGTTCTGGTGTGCACAAAACATACAATGCATATGAAGAAAATGTCGCTGAACGGACTCAAAATACGGAGTTTTCACAAAATCTTACCACCAAATGATGCTTGACATTCTAACAAACCCTTATCCATTGAAACATTAAATGAGATTTGGTTCAAAATAAAAGATTCTTCATGCAAAAATTATTTGATATTACAATGTTTAATTGACATGAGGGTAAAATGTTTCTTTTGATGGTAGTTTTAATGAAGAAGTTTATTTGCCATCCACTGCATGACAATAAATAATAAAATACTTGTGCCGGTGAGTAAAAATCTATTAAATACATTTGAAGTGATGTTTAAATAATTCATAGAAAAAAATTATACGATTAAATATGTTTACAAAGATATGGTCCATTTCATTGTAAAATGTTTAATCTTGTCGAAGTAACGTTTTCTAAGAGGGAAATTATTAATCATAACAGTATTATTTACTCTGTGTCAAAATATTTTTATGTTTTTTTTTTAATATATTTCTATTACTAGCACCAGATATGTGGCCTATTGATGTAGTAATATTTAATTTACCAAACACACATACTAATAAACTTCCAGCTAAACGTATGGAGCTTTAATTGTTCTTTAGATTTGCTATCAAATGACCATATGAAAGTGATGCGTAATTTTGTTAATGGTTTTCTATATCACCTATGGATCTCTTCGGCACATATGAAGCTCGACTGGATTTTTTACGAGCAATTCCTTTATTATGGGTCTAATCTCAATGACTCTTCAATTAGGGTTTGTTTAAATGTTCAGCATCGTTCGATGAAAACATTGTTTTTTAGTACATTCAGCGACATTTTCTTCATAAACATCGCATGATTTGTGCACAAAAGAACCCACGACGGAAAGAATATCTCTACGAAAACTTCATAAAAAAACCGGAACAAAAATAGGTAAATATAATGATTGTGTAATGTTTGTAGATTAGGGTTCACAACATTATTGAAAACAATGTATCTTGAGTCCATTCAGCGACATTGTCTTCATACACATTGCATGTTTTATGCCCACCGTTCTGGTGGACGGACAGAAATAAAAAATTTTCCACGAAAAACTGTTTAAAAATAGGTAAATATAATGATTGTGTTATGTTTGTAGATTAGGGTTAACAACATTATTTGTTTATAGATCATCTGGTACCTGTCTCTTTTCATGAGTTATTAGCTTTCAGAACTGATGTACGTAGCCACCATTCCTTCTCATAAAAGGAACCAGGGATTTGTAGATTATCGTACTGCTCAACATGTAAATTGGAGATGGGGCTCCCTTGTTGAACAGAAACACTTAGTCATATCTGTCAAAGATTTATTCGCTTAAACATTTGCAAGATATCATGTACTATACATACTTAACAGATCTTACAGTTGTATGACATTTTTTTTCGATAAATAAATAACTGTCAGTGACCTTCCTGCAATAAAATATAATTTATTGTACATGCATTGACTCTTATTAATGATGCTTTTTGGTGAAAAAATAAACCCAACATGATTGTTTTACTTCATTAGACTTGACTTTAGAACACGGTACTGAATTAGTTGTATAGTTGGCATTGACAATAATGGAAATTGATGTAAGAAACATTATATGAATAAATTTGCAATACTTACAAGGTTCTTATTTATCCCCTTTTGTAACTTGAACATCTTCATGTATAGTCTCTAACACAGGTGAGAGATCTAGGGCTATCTCAACACTCTTTTCACTTAACTTTGTAAGTAGTTCGAATATTTCAAACAAAAAAGGCATATACTTAATAAATATGAGGGATGATCAAAAATTACCCGGAAATTGTTTATGATTCTGACAAATTTCGTGTTTTCTCCATGAAATATTTATCTTTTAATTGCAAAATATTATTGATTTACTGACACACAGTGCCGTCTTAGGTCGCCTTAAACAGCGGCGCAGCTCGGAGATGACATTTATAATTCACCAAAGTGATTGATGCAAAAAATGATCTTCACCAAAATTTGCCGGAGCCTGGTGTAAAACCCGGAATATGTCATGCTGAAATTTCAAGTCATCTGAACAGTGGATTATTGTGCAATCAAGGTTTGAAGTTGAGACGCTTATTTATTTCAAAAAACGTCGTCAGTAAAGCGTTAGGAAAGTGGCGCTTTAATAAACATTTGTCGGCAGTTAAATATCCTTCACAAACATCTAAAATGACAAAAGAGACCCGACACAAGCATTTTGTTAGTCAAACAAAAGGTTTTTAAAAGTGTAGACGTTTTTTCAGACTGTTGTTCTAATCTTTAAAAAAATGCGTTTGCAGCCTTGCAGAAATTTTTGTGCAATTTTTAAAATAAATTCTAATTGATGATTTGCATGTATCTAAGATTAGTTTTAAGTATTTATCAAATTTATCCAAAACTGATTCTTACTGAATTTAAGTAAATACAAGTCGATAGCTTCATTTCCTTTTCTTATCTAGTAAAAATGAGCGGCGGCAAACGCAAACTAAACCATTTTTTTTCTTACAATTTACTTTTTTTTTTTCTTTAACATCTGATTGCTACATTCGTATTATCTCATCATTTCCGTACTTTAAGCACTTTTTATCGTCTAAATATAAATTTGAAAAACCAGGCTTTTAAAACACCCTGTAGCGAACAATTTTCATACTTTACTATCTAAACTATTGCTATTATCAATTTACATTGTTTGTATAATACGATAGTCACTCTTCGATCAAACCGGTTTTTACGGATCATTTCTAAAGGTCATATCTATGCCATATGCACATGTGCAATGCAAATTTCTTCCTGGTCTAATACGAGGAATTTCATAAATAATTTTTGATACTGGTTTTAATAGAAATGTGGATTATTACATGAAATAGCAGGTAAATTGGCTGTTTAATATTTTATTCAAATACTCAAAAGAAATGTTTTTTTCTCTTCTTTTTTTAAATGTGTTGTTCAAACATAACTGCAAAAATTAAGAATTTTAAGATTTAGCAATATCCATAGTAGATGTTTGTTATATATTTAGAACGAAGGTCATACTAAACGAGACACTCCGTTAAACTTTAACAAAAATAACTTCAAAATAGGTTTAACCGTACGCAGTTTAGGTATCGCTGTAATGGTTTGTGTTAGTAATTGAACCGATCAATACATACAAGTTCTCTCATAACACATTTAAATTCACTTCAAAATTTTAAATACCTGTCGTTCAAAAGTATTTTCTTTTGTTTAATTTGTGCACGACTTTATTGCAATATTACATTTCATATTATGAAGTCAAGACAAAATACCAGAAATCAAATTACTATTCATGATGTGTTATATCTAATTAAAAACACAAAAAAATATCTATTGTAACATACCCATCGAAGTGTAAATAGTCGGGAAACAAGTAAAAATGAAAATAACTTGACTGTTTGCCATAATTGTGTACAATTATATATCTTACTATGA